GCAAGTTACCAAATCGCATATGGTTGGATAACTTGAAAATAACAAAATCAGAATCAATATGGAATATACATTGACATCTGTACTGGATGTTTAAGAGACTCTACAGACTATGTGCTCTGCTTGGTGCTGCCTGTCTGCACATGGGGAACTCTAGGCCCCCTTGTGGAGCCCCTGAATAACAGAGTGCATATGAACAGGATATTTTCATTAAACGTGTTTCTACAAAACCCAGATAATGTGAACAAGTTTACAACATGCAAAAGTGTCATTTCTGCATATGTGCTCTGCAAAAAATCTGTTAGCTGTACTCCCCTGCATGTGTGTTGTTAGTGCAGGTCCAGACCAGGAGCAGATGATGGGCTGTTTGTCTATGTGTGTGTGTGTGTGTGTGTGTGTGTGTGTGTGTGTGTGTGTGTGTGTGTGTGTGTGTGTGTGTGTGTGTGGAGGTCCCTCTGGCTCCCATGGTTTCTCTCTCTATCCCCTCCTCCTCCCTCTCATATTCCCCTCCCTCTCTCCCTTCTTTCCTTCTCCTCTTCTTCCCCTGTCTCTTGGCTAACTCAAGCGCCATCTCCCTCTCACACATGCAATAGCACTCTGATCCGGAGGTAGTCATTTTTAACCCTTAACACGGACTTTTGGATCCTTGTGAGATTAGGCTTGAGATTTCGCAGAAGAGTGAGGTCACCGTGGTCAAGCCGAACTTTGGATCTCAGGTTTAAGACTTAAGCGTGAAGATTAGGCTCGCTTTGATTGGAGGTTTGAGGTTGAATTGGCTGAGATGATAAGGGTTTAGGGCTTGGACTGGGGTGAAAGAAGTCGGGTTTTCACGGTAGGGTACAGTAGAAGAAACAGATGTGTGTGTGGAGACAGATGTGGCGAGCCACTGCAGCATCTGTATGTGTGTGCCTATTTAACAACTTCATCCAGTTACTGTTTGTGATAAAGAGCAGCCACAAATGATGTGCTGTCTATAACAGTCACTGAAATGCATCCTCTCCCCGTTAATGTTTGTTCTATTAAATAGTTGCCAAAGCTCATGAAAGTTTTAGAATACAAAATGCACTTTATGAGCCAATAAATATATCAAGAGACTGAAACAAAGTTGAGAAGCTTTCAGCCCCTGAAGCATCATGGCAAGGATTGAAGCTCTAAGATTCATAATTAAGAGAAAAAGCACGACAGCTGAAGAGCACTGCAGCTCCGTCTGCTTGGCTCAGAAGAAGGGTGTGGTTTAATATCCTGTTCCCTCTGTTCTTCTCTGTCTTCATTTTTTCTCCCTTTGCATCGACTGACTCTTGACCAGAGGTGCTTAATGTGGTTAGAATTTGAACTTTAGAATAAGTTGTCTAATATTGCAGAGGAAAAAAAAAATAAAACCTCACAAAAAGGGATTTCATTGGAGATCGAAAGCAATTAGAAAACAGAAAAATCTCTTTAAAAAGGCATCATGGTCAGGGAAAAAAACAACACAGGACTTTTTTTAGGACAAGTTTTACTAATAAAACTTTTTTGCATTCAGAGGAGCTTTGACAAGGAGAAGAGTGATGCTTGATTCATGGTGTTGTGCTTTTGGCTCGAGCAATAAATGTGATATCCTGTTTCATAAATCGAGTCAGAGTGAAAAATAATCAAAGTAAGGAGAATTTTTTTAAATAATTGAGGCACCAAATAAAAGACCCGGAGAGAATAAAGTTGCATAAAAAACGTAACCCAGACAGGTAATACATGCTTCAGAGAAGAAGACAGGCTTTCCCCCGAGAGGATGCCAAGAAGGAAGCGCCCTTACTACTACTAATCCTGCAAACCTCCGAGTGACTTAAGATTAGACGTGGGACCGAATCCAGCACAGGATACAGGAGGTACACAAATAAAATCACAGTCTGCCAAAGTGCTTAAATGAGCACATGGACTAACTCTCTGTCAGAGGAGCAGCTCATGTGATTGTTACGAGTGTGACTCCCACGCAGAAACACGGGACAGACACAGGTATGCACAAACGCAGGAATGGAGATACAAACTTTATGATGAATGCATAGGAAAGAAAGGGGAGGGGGGGGGGGAGATAAAGCAAGAAGAAGAAGGAGAAAAAAAGGAGACAAATAAGGGGAGGAGGGGTTTCCAGTGGGTCCAGGTGGACATGTGGTGTTGTTATACGGGGTCAGGGTCCTGTTGGACCGTAGGGAGGTGCCGGTGAGCTCCCTGCCCAGGCAATGCTCTACTCTCTGGACACGCGCTGAGCCAGAGCAGCCTGGATCCCTCCCTCCCCTTCACTCTCTTCTCTTCTTCTTCACCCCCCTTCCTCCCTTCCTCCCTCCCTCCCCTCCCCTCCTCCAGCTCCTCTTTCTCGGGCCCTATGGGTGCAGTGCCACGTCGCTGAGTGAACATATTAGAGTGAGGCAGAGAGGGAAAAGAGGGAAAATGCAAAGCACCTCCACGTGTGCTGATACATTTTCCCTACTTTTTCTCCCTTGTAGGAACAATCTCCCATTTTCATTTATGATTCAAAGGAAAAAACTCAAAATCTTTTGCAAAAGAAGTCCATAAACATCTTTGCTTTCTCCGTGAAACTCTTATGACTCATGCCTGAGTGTGTGTAGAAGTGTGATTTTTGAGTGTGTGGCACTCTCATTGCAGAGTGTTAGTCTGCTTGGAGCTTTAAATACAAACTTTTTCCCCTCAAGATAAACTATGCATTTTAAATGCCACACTTTCTTATTTGGCTATTGGAAAAGAGCCAATTTAAAGCTGCTGTATCTCATTTTACACTCTTAAAACAGAGGTGGCTGTCATAAAAACGAGTTTGCTATACAATACCGCCATCTACTGGACATGTTTTTAATTTCAATTTAAAAATGTATAACAAACAATTTTCTTACCAGCATTTTAATAAAGACTTACCTACAGGTGAGCTTTGTATGACACAGAAGAGGTTGAAAAGAATTCAGTGAAAAATTAGATTTATTCATCAAAAACAAATGCACATCTCTTTTTTTAATTTGTTGTTTTTCCATTTGTTATTGGGTTAAACACAGATTTCAGTAAAAAAAAAGAAAAGAAAATGTGATTTTTAGGCTTCAAAATCATTTGCATCAGTCTATGTCAGACCGACCCTGGCTGGCAGGTTCATGTTATTTATTTTCTTGAGTGATTCCCCCCTGAGAATCATGGCTGAACAAACAGCATGCACAAACAGCAAGCTTCCCTAATATAAGTGAATGGAAAATTGCGAAATCGCTCCGCTGTGGAATATTTATGAGCATGGGGAAACTGAGTTTGGAGCTCAGACGGTAAACTCTCCGTGCTTCCAGTTAATAATTTCCACAATTTTCCTTTTTCAGTAAGGACCAGACAGGGATTATGAAAAACAACACAACTCAAATAGGAACTTTACCACAGAAGGATGAGTCTTCTTCTGGGGATTCATTAAATAAAAGAACAGGACAAATAATTGACATTAAATGTTTCTGAAAATCTAATGAGAACAAACGTCTATGGTGCAGTGCTAGCTCACAGGGAGAGCGAAGAATTCAACAACAAATAAATGTACAATTTTCCCAATTTTTCCTTTTTCCTGTCATGTTCAGGGAGATAAGAAACAACTTTACATTAAAAAAATGTAAAAAGCCCCTGAGGAGCTTATACGAGCAGAGCACAGGTGATTCCAATCTGTCAGCCTAATCAGCTTCAACATAGAAGTAGAATACATAGAGAGGGCATTCATAGCCAAAAGAACACACATGGCCTACATTAAGTTTTACAAAGGAGCTTTTATATTCTAACAAATATTACAAAATGAAAGCATATATGTAACTCTATAATCAGTACTGTGATGCAGGGTATTCACAGGTATACGTAGAACCAAAGTAGCCAATTAATGATGTATTTTTATATCTATGAATAAATTTAATAAACTAGGTTTTTCTTCCTGTACTTTTTAATCTATGATTCTATGAATTATGCAATTTCACCCATTTTTATATTTATATACATTAATAAAGTTTTCATTCAACTTTATTATTGCTGTGAATTGATGCATTTCTTAATACTGTAACTTATTAATGTTTGCATTTAGATATTTTTACTTTCTAGTTTGTAATTTCTTTAACGTTGATGTTTGACTGCAGGCTCTATAAACTCTCTTTCTATGTTCACATTGCTTTCACACACTGATTAGAATCACCTGGTTTCTAATCTACAACACTTTAATTTGCCTGCTTTTCTCTGAAGATGACTGAATGTGTGAAAAATTGGAATTGTAAAAGAACAACACTGCTGGATCTTTGTTTTCCATGATCGCTCAGACAGCTCAGTTGGAAAGTCTGAAGTAATATCCACCTCATGACATCAAGCGTTTCACTTTTTACCGTTCCTTTGAGCTGTTTTCATTTAGTTTCTGATCCGTAACAAGTTATTTTTTACATTATTAAGTTAATGTCTTAACCTTCGATCTACCAGAAGGACCTTACTTTATTTCAAAATAAAAGCAGAGTTGACTCAAACAGCAATTACATTGAAATAAGACAGTATAAAAATCCAAAATAAAAGCCCAACAATTTTTATTATTAAATGCGAAATAATTTAATTTCAAACATTCTATTAAAATGTGATTTATTGGGATTATTATTGAAATTTGGCGATGAATCGCAATTAAACAATTTTATTTTTGACAGACCTTATTGTTTTATTTGTCTGTTACAGTGATACATTACTGCATGTAATGGAGACCAAATGTTGCCTGTTTATTTCTTACCAGCTCTTGTTTGGAAAACCTTCATGAAACCCCCCCCCAGGCAGTCACAACATTTTGGTTACCAATACCTTGGCTGGATTATTCCTGTTTTTGTACAGTCAGCCATTGTTCTCCAAACCTTGTTGGCAAAAACAGCCTGTGGGAGGAAAATTAACATCATGAAAGAAGCCAAAGACTGAGCCATCGGTGGGTAACATAAAAATAAATTGAATTTCACACTCAATAAATATATTTTTTTTACTTGCTTGGGTCAGTTACACCGTTAGCTTCTGGCATCAATATTGGATAAGTCTGCAAAGTTCAAGCTGTAAAATATGTTTTTTTCTTTCATATATAAATTGTCTTCACAGTGCATGTTTTCTTTGGAGGTTTAGTAGAAATGCACCACCTGGAATCCCCGTAAGCACCTGAAAGCCTGACCATCCAGCTTCCCCATATCGATTAGATTGTGCTCAAGCTGCACTCGTACGAGCCTGCTGAGACTCACTCTCCTGTTCCCCCAGCAGAAAGCATCTCGAGGCACTGATTGAATCTTGTTGTGCGTGAGTGCAACCGAGTGCAGAGCTTGTGGGAGCTGTCTGGGCACTTGGCGTAAAGCGTTGTGGCAGAGATCTAACTGGTGCAGGACCGGCAGAGACCTGAAGGTCCCTGGTGCTACTTTGAAGATTGTATTCCTCGCTAAACCCAGGTGTTCCAGGTTCTTCAGTGTGCTGAAAACCGTTCTCTTTAAAGACGATATGAGGTTGCCTTCCAGATTTAGAGTTTTAAGGGAGGGCGGAAGGTGTTTTGGCACCTGTTTTAGTCTGTTGCCTTCTAAATTGAGGCTTTCCAAGTGAGTAGCGTTGACGAGAGACTCCCTAAGAAGGCCTTTGTTCGTGAGTCTGTTTGCGCTTAAGTCCAACACAACCAGCTCTGATTTTCCGTTGAAAGCTCCTCCTCTGAAGTGCTCAATGAGATTCCCTTTGAAGTACAGCGCCTTGATGGATAGCGGTAACCCCAGAGGAACTGATTTCAACTGGTTGTGATCCAGGTTCAGAGTGCGCAGGTTGTACAAAGGCGAGAGCACCGCACTAGGGATGGATTCTGATCTGTTCCCCAAGGTGTTGTTGCTGAGGCTTAGAACCAAAAGTCCAGGGCAGCGAGCCCAGGCGGCCTCAGACATCACACTCAGGTGGTTATTGTCCAAACGAAGCTCCTCGAGAGACATTGGAAGGTCATTTGGCACGCTTTCTAAAAGGTTCCTGTCCAGGTAGAGGCGCTTTAGAGCCGGTATCCCCTCAAAGGCTCCCTCAATGGAACCATCTGTGAGCCGATTGTTGCTCAACACCAGGAACTCCATAGAGACGTACTCGTCGAGCAGGTCCAGCTGGATGCTCTCGATGCGGTTGTTCATGAGGAGGATGTAGCGAGCAGTGTAGGGAATACCGTAAGGAACCTTGTCCACATCTTTGTCTGAGCACTGGACCACCCTGGAAGTGACACAAAACATGAAAAAGAATGCAAATGCTTTAAGGTGTAGTGGCAGCTTTTTTTTTAGAAGATTGATACCACTCTTGTGAGGTTATGTTTCAAATTAGGCTAACATCAGCAGCTGGTTAGCATAGCTTAGCATTTGTAAAGTCTGATTATAAGGCATTCACTTTACTGACATGATCCCTCAGGGTTTATATCTCACCTTCCATAGCAAGCACACTCAGGAGGACAGTAGTTGTCCATAAAGTACGGGAAGTGCGTTGGCGCCATGATCTCCTTCTTCTTCTTCTTCATTGGCTTTTGGGTTTTATTGTCCTTCTTTTTCTTTTCCTTTGACTTCTTGGTCGTCTTAGTTTTGTTCATCTTTGTTGGCGTTTGAGAAGATGTTTGTACGTTCGTTGCCAGATGTGGTCGGGGAGGTGATGATTTGTTTCGCTTCAGTGCAAGTTTGGTGGCGTTTTCCACCGGTTTGGGTTCCCCTGTTGGTTTCAGCTTGTTTGGTTTACGTATGACCTCGACTGGCTTAACACTGGGATGATTCTCGTTTATTTTCAGAGCAGGATGCGGCTCTTTGGTTCTTCTTTGGGTTTTGGCGTTACGTTTGTTTGCACCTTTGGGATGAATTCTGCCTCTTTTGTGTTTATTTCACGTGCGGTCTCCTCCTTCCATGCTGGTTTATACAACATATTTCTGACCTTTACCTCCTCTAAATGAGCCGTTTCTTCCATTTCATTCTGCTTGAGATAATGTCCAGGACTTTGTAACACCTCAGTGAGGAGATCTTCAAGCAGAAAAACAGACCTCCTCACATCTGGATCCACTGTTGAGACTGAAACTTCTGCAGGGTTTGGAGAGACAGATGGTGGGAAAAACTGAGGACTAACTTTTGTGTGAGACGTCAGCGGTCGAGAGGAGACTGAAGTAGCTCGTGTGGGTGTAACCAGAACTGATGGAGGGACATTATAATGAAAAGGAGGGGGATTTTGAGACTGGGTGATAACTTGAAATGTGGCAGGAATTTCCTTCCCCTGTGAGGTAGAGGAAGTGCTCAGAGGAGGTGTGAGATCACTAACCACTGCAGGATCATCTTTTTCTCTTTCTTGTGATTCATTTGAGTTTGCATTTTTTATGCTCTCCCCTTCCTCCCTTTCCTCATTTCCTCCTTTCTCTTCATGAAGATGAATCCCTGCAACCAGCTGGCTCTCTCTTTCTTGCATCATTTGATCACTTTTATTAAAGTTTTCATCAACCTCATCATCCTTTTCCTTCTTTTTAATTAATTTCCCCCATGTTTTAGGGCTCTCTACATTGACAGTTTCTTCCTCTAAATATTTAGAAAATGTCTCTGATGTTAAAGTTTCCTCACCTCCTTTCCCAAATCCTCGATTTATGTGTAAGGTTTCTCCCACAGTCCAACCAAAATCAGCTATGATTTGATCTATTATGTCCTCCAGCTGCTCTTTTCCCCGCCCTGTCTTTGGAGCCAGTCCTCGTCTCCTCTGATCACCCTCTGTTTTCCTTCTCTCAGTGGATTCAGCAGCCTTTCCTCCCTCCTCAACTGATACAGAAACATCCATACGCTGCTCACTCCTAATCTCAGACTGCTGGTCTCCCTCCAGAGCTGCTATCTGTGTGACTGTGAGAAAATCAAAAGAAACCACAGAGATAGAAACATCAGTTAAAAGATGTAGTCTCAAACACGTAGCACAAAGAGTATCACATTAGCGTCACAACAGTTAGCCTTCCCTTTGATAGGCTTGTGAAACAATTAGCACTGATGTGTTTATGAAGGGTAGTACGAGGATTGCGGTCATTAGAAAGAGATCATATGTTTCTTTTAAAGTCAAAACAAGTGCGTCATGAAATATATTTGTAGTGGAAACAGAGCCTGAAGTTTTACTCACTGGGTTCCAACATGTATGAATTTCCAAAAACAATGAAGAAGAACATCAGCAGCAGGTTGACAACTTCCATTTTATCTGTTAAAAATAAAAAAACAATCAGGGTTTAGATACGACAATAGAAATAGAATCAGCTTTAAAAAAAAATAGTTTTAAAGAATTTTGAGTTGTCTGAGCGTTGATGTTGGAGGCACCATAACAACTTGATAATATATTGGACTTCCTTTTTTTCTCCAAACTCCAGGAGAATTAAACAGAATCTATAAACCCCAGCTTGAATCCTTTAAACCACAGCTCCCAATTGAGTCCACTCCTATCTGTTGAACTTTTTATAACACAGCTAGTTCCCAATTGGGTCCAACCTACTTCAAACATAGTTCCTTGCGTTTATTTCTCTCTAAAATAACTTTGTCTGGAAACACATTTGAAATAAACACAGGGTTCTTGTACCCTTGTGAAAGAATAATCGCTCAGTAAAGAGACCCTTCATCCTGATGATGCTCCTATGCTCTATCTGATAAGTTACACATCTTATTGCCCTTAGTTGCCAAGGCAACCAAAACAGCCAGGCCACCTTCAAACAGACCCCATAAAACAGGACATGCATTCTCCTTTTAAGTCGTAAAAATGCTCCAACGTTCTACTCACAACAAATACGTCAAATCAGAGTTTGCTTTTTGCATTGACTACTTTAGTGGTGAGGTTTTTGGGAAGTCCAGATGTGAGACAAAGATTTGATGCTCTCAGAGTACAGGAGTTGAAGTTTATGATATTAGTACAAAGCCATGGTCCAATCAGCTTGATTTATGAGTGATGCTTACCTGATGTCAAAGCGGAGCTCCTGCATGTGTCAGTGGGGATCCTGCGGACCCTGCACCTGCCCGTCTGCGTGGACCGAAGAAGAAACGCTGCAACCTTTGAACCGCACGCCCCACCAACAATGATCTGTTCTCGGCGCACGGAGGGTTTTCACACACATACTGGACGAGCCCAAAGGTAATGACTCCTCAAATGGTCTTTATCTGCAGGAGGATTCTCACAAGTACCCTCCACGTCAGAGGAATCTGGAGGATCAATAGCGGGGAAAGAGGAGCAGCTTTAGTGGATGAGGGGGTCAGAGGTGACGCTGGGTTCTTACAGTGGCTTCTGTTTGCTCCGCTGAGGGGAGACATTAGCATCCCAGTGGTTAAATGAGGATGACATGTAGCGCCTGGAAAATGCTTGACTTTTGACCTTGTATGCTAATAATGTGCTGGATATCAGGAAGTCTACTACTGCTGATGCAGGCTTTTATTCTGCTCTTCTCTTAACAGTACTTCTATTTTTACATTCTTAAGGCTTTATTTCTTATATCTCACCTAGACTGCTTTTAAAGCCGTGTGTAGTTCAGATTTTCATTCAATCGTTATTTTGATGTCGAGTCAAGAGTAAAATTTAAAGAAATACACAAAACCAACAACTTTTCTGGGCTTTGATGCACTTTAAATGGATGTATTTGAGCTTCTTTTCAGGTTATCAATGTCAGGTGTTACTCTTTATCGTTAGTTCATGGGACGAATAAGATTTGCTGTTCATGGATTATTCCCAAATAAAGTATTGTGTATGTTTTCGTTTCCACTCAGCTGCACTATCTGTAGAAATAAACTGTTAAGAGTTCCTGCAATCAGTCTCTATTTTTTTAGAACCAGCTGGGTCTGGAATATCTTGTCTGTGTTTGCTCATGTTTTTAACACATTGAGCATGATACAAGCACAAAAAACAAGCATTTCTTTAGCAGGGTCGCTTAATGTGCTGAAAAGTTAGATTTGAGAACATGAGAGCAGTTATTTGTACATTTTTATGTTTGTAAAACCCTGAAACACTTCTAGATTAAAGACTGATGCTAAAACAAAGCTAGTGTGGTTTTTAAAATCACTCAGTGAATACCTTCTTTATTCTGAGTACTATCCACAAAAACATCACATACAATGACAAGTGCTGAACGCTGAAATCTAGTGGACAAAAAAATGAACTACCAAAATAGAGAGGCTGAAGTGAAGTGCCTTTAATGTCCACAGAGAGGCAGCATGTACCCACATTTCATCGCTGGAGTTGGCCAGAGAGAGCCATGTATTGCATAACATTGCATGGGAAAATACCGCAGATATGTGTTGTGATTGTCTTGTCTGTATCTGTGCCCAAATCAATTCGTTCATACCCACCAAAAGAAGCAGACAGAAGGATAACATCGTCTATAAGAGTGATGGGAATAGGACAATGATTGAAATAAGATCCCATGCAGGAGAAGAGCTGAGGGGGTCTTTTAGCACCTTGAGCAGTGTCATCTCATTTCCTGTTGAAGGTGACGTAATGTAAAGGGGGGGGGGGGGTGTTAGAACAGCAATAATGGAAAAACAGAAGTGGGGGTGGTGTTGTGTTATCGGCCTGCACCTCTTTATGGCTAAAAATACCACAGTGGGTAACTGTAAATGTATATTTTGTTGTTTTTGGTGTTCTTTCCCTTTCATTGTAATTATAGACTCAAATAATCTGCTTTAGAGTGAAAAATATGAGACACGATGTTTTTTTAAACCCTCCGATCTACTGTTCTCAGTAAAACATGTACTTTATCTGTCTGTGAAGCTTCAGAAATCCCTCTCACAGACAAAGCCAGTGATGTGAAGTCTGTCTGTCTGGATTTGTGCCTTCTAGCTAAATCATCTCTACAGTTGAATGATTGTTCCTCCGAGCATCCAGATGCCCTAGCAGCTGCCCACCCGCCGCACCAGTTGCCCCTTCCTCTTCTTTTTTTTTCTTTTGGCAGGCCTCCAGATGTAAAGAAAAAAAAAAAACATTTTCAAATGATCAAAGATACTATTTTTCTTCACCTAGCTCTCAGATTTGAATCCGTATGGGGTCTCTAGAGGCTTTTAAAGAAGTAACTCAAAGCTGGTATTTGGGTTTTGATAGTTAAAGGCAGAACAATTGATCTTAAGGACATTGTTCTATCAGATAATAACCTTTTTTTTATCCTCTCCCTTGGTCAAATCGTGACCTCAGAGGTCAGAGGAAAACTGAGAGCGTGGTATTTGTGACGAGTTTGTTTCCCAAAAAAATGAGAGATCAAGGCTGCCTCGCAGTTCAGTGTGGAATTTCCATGAGGTTTGGTCTGAATTTTTTATGTGTGTGTGCAAGTATGAAAGAGTATACAGGAGTCACAAAACATTGTTACATTATCGTATGAATTGACAGGACAGCTGAAGGGAGACAGGGAATGTTGGGAGGATAGTGGGGGGGGCGACATGCAACAAAAGGACCGAGGTCGGATTCAAACCAACGACCACTGCGACAAGGACTACAGCCTCTGTACATGAGGTGTGGAATGCAACAGATAGGCTATCCGGTGTGCTTTATTTTTTAATATGCTGTAGTTTTAATTCACTCTCATTAATAACAGTAGTTGTGTAATTTATCGAGCATCCT